ACTTCTCATATCTCAAACTCATATTTTGATCAGTGTTGCCAGAACTTTTTGAGCCGACCAGCTAAATTGGCCAAAAAAAAGCGGCTAAAAACGGCTAAAATGTTTCAACTAAAATCCACATGTTTTATTTAAATAAATCACAAGTAGAAAGACTGGTAAATTCATTAAATAAACCTCAAACTGATAAATTCATTATAAATTATTTTTGTTTAACAAAGGAAACTTTAGCGCACTTTTGCTTAGTCGAAGGGCAATATTTTTGAGAAATGAACACGTAAAGCTGTGAAAGGGCTGAGGAAAAAGGGCAACATCATTTCGATAAGAGAAAACGCCATTCAACCCGTTGGTAGCTTTTTAAGTTTTTAACAATTAAACTAATTAAACTGGCAACACTGATTTTGATATAGGAGAAAGCTTAAATTAAAAATGCACCGCTACGAAAAGGAAAGTCCAAAAGAAGCACCGAAAATCCCATAAGAACAAAGTATTAAGAAATCTTTTAACAAAGATCGAAAGCATCCGATTCGTATGGAGTTTTCCTTTGGTTTAAATACGTTAAATTTTGTATTTCCTCTCCTGTAAAATTTGCAAAAAAAATTTACTTAGCAACTTTTCAGGTAGCGCTATGAAGATTAACAATTTGCCATGTATTGTGTGTAGTGTCCGACCGAACTCTAGTTTTTGGCCGAAACCGAACCCGAACCAAGCACTTGGTTTTTTTTCTTGAAGCTCGGCCGAAGCCGAACCGAATCACTTTTTAGAGTTAAAATTACATAAGCAATTATATACCGCAAAATAATTAATTAAAAGCATTTCTAATATTTTATGTAAATTATCTGTTATTGCTTCTCTAAAACTCGCTATCAGTTTCACACTGCTACACTCGATTCGTTTGACGGCACTTGCAGCAGAAATAAAAATTGCTAGTGCAGCAAGAGCAAGTTGAAATAAATTTTTGAAATCGATATTCGCTCTTTCAATTGCAGTCACATTTTGCAATTTTTTTTTCTGGAATGTGACAGAAAGTTCTTTCTGGCTGTTAACACGTGGAACAAAAATTTCTTTCTCAATTTGACTTCGAATTACAAAGCAAATTTGAAAATTTAACTTGCCAAAACAAACAAAGAGAACAAAATTAAAAGAACGACAAGAAATAAGAAAATTGCCATAAAAAAGCAATAAAATCAAATTACAGTAACGCTACAGAGGCACTTAAATTAAAAAATTAAAATGTTTTAATTTGTAAACATTTTCTTTACAACTTTTCGGCAAATTTTGGCCGAAACCGAGCGGAACCCGAACTTCATGGCCGAACTGTTCGGTAACAGAACCCGAACCCGAACGCTCGGTCGGACACTACTTGTGAGCTTGTCCATATCTAAGTCGTTAAATGATATTATCTGGTAAAGGACTCTTTGTGGTGTACGACCAAGTGATCCTTAACCCTTAAAGGGTAACGTTATTTTACATATTTTAAAGGCAATCTTCGTCGAATCGACGAAGTGCTTTTTATTTACCTTTTTTAAAAATGTTGCATGCAAGACTGCCAAACTACTTTTAATAATGATGAGCCTTAACAAGAAAGAAAACATAGAGGCTAATTATTATTTAAGCGTTTTATATATATTTTAGAGCAATTCGCTCTTCAGTCCAATGGCGGGAGAAATGGAAAATGGGCAATAGTGTTCGTCAAATCGACGAAATATACACGTCTGGAAAAAGGTATTGGCACAGAGAATTTTTCACAATGTTTGCAAACACTTTTCTTTTAATTTGTTTGCGCTAATTTTTTATAACAGGGCCATTCCATTGTGACTAGTGGGACATTTTACTCCAGAATGTGATCAATTGTGTATTTTAACTATGTCGTCGGAACTTATACAGCAGCGAAAGATATTTTTATACCCGAGCACACTTGTGCACAAGGGTATATTAACTTTGTTCGCATAACGGTTGTTTGTAACAGCAAAAACGAATCGAGATAGATGTGGACAAACGTATGTATACATAAATGATCAGAATGAAAAGAGAAGTCGATTAAGCCATGTCTGTCTGTCCGTCCGTCTGTCCGTGTACACGATGACTCGAGCAAAAATTGAGATATCTCAACGAAATTTGGTATGTAGGTTTGCCCTTTATCAAAGGTAGGTTGGTATTGAAAATGGACGAAATCGGTCTGTAACCACGCCAACTTCCATATAACGGTATTTTCGAAAAATGCAAAAACTGCGATATTTCAGTAAATATTAGATGCAAATTGTTGAAAATTAGTATGGGGAGTAGAATTGTGGTAAAAAATAATATTGTTATGAAATTTTTGGAAAATGGGCGTGGCACCGCCCACTTATGATGAAATTCTGTATCTCAGTAGCCGCTTCACCAATCCCTACCAAACTCGGTACGAGGCTTGCGTAGGATCTAGCTAAGAAATCTGTTGAAAATCTTTGAAATCGGGTAATAACCACGCCCACCTGCCATATAACGGTAATTTACAGAAACACGAAAATTACGATAAATCAGTAACTACTGGAGCTAATTCAATTAAAATCGATGATTACAATAACCACTTAGCATAAAATTAGAATATTATAAATTTTTGGATAATGGGCGTGGCGCCGCAAATGTGTATCTCGGTAACCGATTTATCAATTTCTACCAAACTCGGTGCACTTTGTTGAAAATTATTCAAATCGGACTAAAATTACACCCGCTTCCCGTATAACGGTAAATTTCAGAAATACGAAAACTCCGAAATTTCAATGAGGACGCTAATTTACTCCCAAGTTAATAATTACAACAATCTTCTAACAATAAATAAGACTGCTATAGACTTTGGGGAATTGGGCGTAGCACTGCCCACTTTATGACTACAAAGGTGTACCTAGGTAACCACTCAATCGATTTGTACCTAACTAGGTTCAATTATATCATTAAGTCTAACTCTGCATATTACCGGAAACGTTTGAAATCGGGTAAACATCCCTGCTTATCATGCAAAGGTAGTTCAAAGTTGAAACGACGATATTTGATACCTGCGCCGGGTATATATAAAGTTCGGTTTCGAAATTATACTTCTTTACTTGTTTAACATAGAACGATAACTATTGTATAAAATTGCTTTAACAAAAATACCAAACGATTTCTTAGTTTTATGTAACTATCATTTGAATGAATATGACTAGTGGTACACTGAAAATAACTCTATTTTACCCTTGTGCACTCAAAGATGAATTTAGCCAAAACACTTAATTTTCACGAACAATGTATTTGTGTTGTAAAATATGAATTATACACTTGCGTTTTCAATAAAAATGAGGTTTATATAATCTTCATAGAAATATTAAAAAATATTTAAAGTTGTGACTGGTGGGACATCTCCTTGTGACTGCTGTAAAGTAATTATGCATGAAATAAAAGTTTCCATAGACAAAAATTACAACTTTAGATTTTTTTTAATATTTTCCCGCAGGTTAATGATGTGTAGTCATTTAAAAAGAGGTTACTACTGAAATAGAGATAATTAGGGCATATTTAAATTTATGTCGTTAAAGTGTAGTGTACAACTAAAAACATAAAATACGATTTCTAAACTTTCGTGCAAATCAGGAAAATTAAAAGCAAATTGGTAACTTTCTAATCAGATTTTTTTTTTTATTATTTTGAAAATGCAGTTTTTTGCATTCGATTTTAGTAGTAAAGTGTATGTTTGATTTTTGGCATTCTTTTGCTGATGATGTTATTATTTTCTTCCATCCATTACATTTGTTTTTTCCCGGAGTTCCTGGCGGGAAATTTGTTTCTTGGTTTTTCATCCTTCCTCATCCTCTCCTCATTGGCATATTTAATTTAAGTTAGGCTTTGCAAACCGAAAAATAGCTTAATTAGTTCATTTTAAAAGTTAATGTTCGGTGGTTCTTCTACCTTTAATTTGACATTTTGTATATGCTGCTGCATCGATTCAATAAATTTGGTTTAGTGCCGATTGCTTAATTTTGGTCCACTCAACAGCTAATTTGAGTTCTGTAACTATTCCGAATTGTCTGCTATTGCTATATACCCATTGAGACAAATATGCCCAAAGGCTCGCTCCCTATGGGATTTAGATACGGAACTGCGTCGATTTTCGTTGAAATTATGCGAATTGGAGATTCGCCGTAGAAATCAAATGATTCCCAAATCATTAACTAACTTCATCCGAAATTTCTGGTCATTCTCGCTTGTCAGTACCACACTGTATATTCTACACATCGCTTTGAACTAATCTGAAGTTTAAACCGAAAATACCCTCTATAAGTAATTTTCACAAAAAGTACTTTCTGATGTTAGACACTATCTGGGATTTAACTGTTGTCATCAGTAATGTTAATTTTAAGTTTGCAATTTTATAGTAAATTCTTCTAGCAAGCGATATACAAGGTCAGTATTAAAATTACAGTTCAGGGAATAGCGTTAATAAAGAATTATGCAAAATAGTGTATTTATAGAAAAAACTTAAGGGTGAAGACTAACCCCTTTCCTTTAAATTTCGTACTATAATTTAGTCATGCTTATTAAATACTTCTTGATCTATATTCAGATATGTTATTTTCTTCTACTCAATTCAATCATCTGAAATCTCGGTGCAATTTCTGTTCTGAAACTCTTGATGTCGTTTGAATGTGTATGTACTTATATTGTTTGTCTATATATTAGGCTGTGTTCAGAAATACATCAAATCAAAGCATCTTGCTCTTTTATTTACATATAAACTATTATTGATGCGAATGCCTTATTTGCGGAACTAAGTTCCAACTCGGTATTTAACCGTGGTTGCGCATCTTGGACATTTTCATCAATTATAGTTTAGAAATAAAAGATACGGATGCTTTGGCTTGACACATTTCTGAACACAGGTTAACATTTACTTCTCAGAGGAGGACGTTGTTTTTTAAATCTTAGATTCGATTACTTTTTTACTTTTACTTTTTACTTTACTTTTTACTTGTTTGCGATCTTAACAGAAATGAAGACGATGCAATCTCTAAACATGAGGATGCAGAAGAAATTGACGATGATGGCACCATAACCAAAGACTCGGATTCCACCAAAACAGGGGACAACAAAGATTTACTTGATCCCGAACGTCCTGGTTCATCGGGTAAGAGTAGAATACGGGCGAAAAGTGAAGCTGCTGACGTTGGTAGTGCCGCCGCTGCGAACTCTGTGGCTACTGTCGATGGTACCGCCGGTATAGCCAATAAGGACCAGGCAAATGAAACTCAAACATTGAATGAACCAGATGAGATTCAGACAAATTTCAAAGGCTTGCAAAGTAGTAAAAACTCTGAAAACCCAGATAAATCTAAAAAATCCGAAGCTAGCGAACAAAAATCAAATGTCACGAAAGATGCAGATGCCTCCGTTGAAAAGGCTGAAAATGAATTGACAACAGTGGCAACAGATATTGTTTCGTCTTCCACCCCAACTGAGGTGAAAATGGCAACAGTTGCGATGGACATGGACGAAATGGTAGCTAATGTTAAATCAGAGGCAGATGTTGATGCTACTACAACAACTGTTGCCAATGCTGGCGGAGACTCTACTTCAGCTGACACAACGGTGTTATCAGCATCGGTGTCGTTCACAAAGAGCGAGGACGGTTTCACCAAATCCACCTCTGCTAGGAGCGAAGCTGATTGTGAAATGAAGTCTGAAAATGAGACTGAAACTGCACAGTCCATGCCGGTCGGTGCTATCGATAGTGCAATAGCCACCGACACAAATACTACTGCCACCGAATACGCTGCAACGAGTACTAGTCCTGTAGCTACCGATTACATTCCAACACTCATTCCTACTTCTAATACTAATGAACAAACGCAAAATGACACTCTTAATTCGACCACCATAGGCTTAGATGAAGAGGAAAGTGTTGCAAGTAGCTATCCACCGACGACTATGGCTGCTGATGATGCCACAATGTGGCCGTCTATGCAAGATTTGAATACACGTTTGAGACGTGTCATAACAGCGTATCAACGTAATTACAAGAAAGAAGAATTAAAACAGCAACAGAAAGCAAAAGTAAGTGAATCATTTTCCTTTAAGTCCTAGGAAACATCATTTTTTATATTGAACTAAGAATCGATAAAATATGTTTATAAAAATGTTAAAATGTAGATTAAATGAAATTTCGATCTATTTTGGGTACGTCTATCCCCTTTCAATTGTAGCTTTATTATTTTTCTAAATTGGGTAGTACTCTTAGATTTGGCTGTAAATTTGTTATTTCTTTAATTTATTAAAGAACAGCGTATTTGAATAATGTAAGACAATTTTTCTCGCACCTAAAGCCGATAAACTATGTTCATTTTACTAGCAGGACTGCCTTCGCGAAAGCAAGCAAATTTTGATTCACATAAAACATATTTGAAATTTTATTTAAGAGTTCTTTTTTCATAACCAAATAAATAGACTGATCTTGGTAAAGTCGAGGTCACAATCATAGATAAGATATACTTTTGCGCTAAATAGCACTATTAGGTACTTCCCTAGCATGATTGAACTTTTTATTTATAAACAGAAGTGTCCCACTGGTACTTTACTCACAAAAGATTTTTTTAAGTCAGAAAACTTTCATAAAAGTTATGGAAGGTTATTGCATTTTTTTAGTTAGAGTACAATGGACGTTTTTACTGAAAAGTTTTGTTCGCCATAAAGAGGAGTCTTTAAAACTGGTTTCAGTGTTCAAGCATATATATATCAGACTGACAGACAATGTTACTAGCCAGTAATACAAAACATGTAATTGGTATTTGGAAAAAAAAAACTTTTGTGTACTAACTTTTAGTTATCCGATAGATTTTGTTAAAATCAGGGCCGAAAATTTTAGCTTTTGCTTGTAATTGCTTGATAAGGGTTTCCAAGCTATATTTTAACGACCATGCATATTTTGATGATTTTAATGTATAAAGCTAAGTCCGGATCTGTTAAGAAAACGGCAAAGATAAAAATTGGCATTACTTCGTGTGTATGAATAGTAGCGTTCAAGGAATCTTGATATCATCATCTGATATTTTACATTCTGCAGTCACTCTTTCCTAACGAAATAATGGGACGGGCATATATTTCTGTAACAAACATGGTTTGCCTGTAATCTTTGTTCACAACCAACTTTAGAAAACCGTAGTAGAATGCGTAGTGGTTTTTAATAGCTCCACACTGTTTCAGAAAATTTGGTTCAAGCACTTTTTGTGTATGGAGTTCTGACATCCTTGAGCTTGGTACGCAGCACGCTTAAAACTTCAAAAAGGATTGCTACTGTTACGATTATCCTTGAATTCTCGACGATTTCCCAAATTCTTCGGATCAGTTTCACTGGATTGCTAAATAAACCGCTCAAATTACAGTATAACTAACTTTATTGCACAACAAACAATTTACAACACTTTACAATATTTAGTAACTTTAGTCTTAGCTTGCTAATTCGCTTGCTAAATTCAGTTTTGAAAAGAAATGAAGGATTCGTATATTTTTTTTATACAGGGGTAGGCACTCGAAGTGTTACAAAAAAAATGCTATAATTTTGCCTATTTTGTTTTTTTTTATTCGAAAACATCAATCCATCATTAGAACTAGTCGAGGTTTAAGAAAAATGTATTACTGTTCGATGTATTACAATGCAAAATTCCATTACACGACATTCGTGCAACATGTGAAGCATTCCCGGACAGACTCGCTGCCATTATCCGCATTAAATTTATATTTTTCTTAAAAATAAAGCAAACATAAAGCAAAATAGACAAAATTATAGAATTTTTAATTGGTAACACTTCGAGTGCCTACCCCAGTATAAACCGCATTATTTTTAATAATGGTAAAATGATCTTATACAATTATTTGAGAATATTAAGCAACACTTGATTGTCCATTGTAATTTTTCATTCCTTCAAATAAACTTAATAAAAAACACCATTAAACTGTACCTTTTTTGTAGTTTTTCGAGCCTATGCGAGCCAATGCTTCTTTTTGCTTATTTTTCGGTCCTGGTTATAATAATTGAAATATCGTTTGAAACACAGTTAAAATGATTTTTGTCCTGCTAATTTAATGAGCACGCTTTTAGGACCAAAAACATCGTAGTGACTATTACTATGATTTCAGTGTTAACTTTGTGTTTAGTCGTTGTCCTCTAAACTACATAAGTATGTATTCTAGGGAAAAATACATTTACAATAGAAATGTCAAGTGAGAAGATGCGCTTTATAAGCGCAATGCTACTAGGGTTAGTCAGAAGAGAGCTTCGCTAAATAAGTGGAAAATTATATATTCATTGAAGATTTGGATTGAGTCATTGGCATGTATCGTTTTCCAACATTTTTCATCATAAAAGTGAAATTAAAACCCGTTCAAATTTCATTGTCCAAATTGCCAACACCTTTTTTCCTTTTTTTATCGTATGCGAATATATGTAGCTGCAAGCAATGGTCTCATCAACACCACCTTTATCGGTGCCCACTACGCCGACCCTGCAGTCTATGCAAAATGCTGCTGCCTCTGCTGCTGGTGGGGGCGGCAGTGTAAACTCAGGAGGAAATTCCCTATTACAACAATCGAATACAATTGAACCGGGCAATCGTAGCCTGCAATCACTTCAACAGAACACGAGTATCCCTACTGCCAGCGGTGGGGTTGGTAGTGGAAGACAGACACCGCAACAGCTATCAACAAGTCCTAGCACATCAGCCGCTGCAGCGGCGGCAGCAGCAGTTGTAAGTACCGTTTCTAATGTGGTAAACGTACCCAATATTTGCCCAGCCATGATAAATGGTAGTAGTCAACATCAGACTCAACAGCTTCAGCACCCACCTCATACGCCTCAACAACAACAACAACAACAACAACAACAACATGCAAAACAACAACAGCAGCAGCAACAACATATAGTTGCTCACCAGCAACAACAGCAGGCAGCAGCAGCAACGGTTGCACCACAGATGCCCACTGCCGCTGATATTGGATTAATGTTGAGCTTTTTAAATACGACCGATGTCAGTCATTTGGCTAATCTGGATCTGAATAAGCTGGCCATGTATTTGGTTAGTATGAACAATGTAATGATCGCCAATTTTTCTCAATTTTTTTTTTAATACCAATACATAGTACGAACAAAATATCCACTTACAAATACCTGAACCCAATTCAAATTTCATCATATCTCATCCATTTAAATGAAATCAGCTCTCAGTTTAGCGGCTCTAAAAACGCATAAACATACTAAAGTAGAACTAATAGCTTTTAACCGCAATTTTAATGTTGTAAAAACTTTTCGAAATGGTTACTTTTGCGTCGCAATAGTTTAAAACAAAAGCGGCGATATTTAAGATATTTCAATATGTACCGTCCCGTCCCTACACAGAGATGACGACATATTGTATGGTATGTATTTATTAACTAAATTTACTTTTTTTTTATGCACCTAACTTTTATTGTCTTCAGTGTCTGACCTAGGTAACTCAGTGATAAGACTTACTACGGACATTTCGGCGAAATTAAATGTTCATACATATCGTTCACAAAATGTTGGCTCCAACTGAAATTTTGTAATGATTTTGAGAGAACCAATTAAGCCAACCTCCAACACACACTAAAACTGTAAAAGTAACTAAAATTTGGATACCCGTATATATTCGTGACTAATGCGATCAACGCCCGTATCTTTCGTATCGTTACTTTACTCGTTACTTTTGATACAGGCTCTTGTACCTCACACGAATCATCGCAACAAATCTTGCAGCGTAAGGAAATGTTCGTTCATACATATGCATACATGTATGTACATACATATGTACTAAAGGCCAGCTCAAGTATATTTTCCGCATTACGTTCAATAAGTAGTCTTTGCATTGTACTCTACTCACAACACATTGTTTCTCTTTTTCCCAGTGTTGCCAAGTTTTGAATTTGAAAAAGCACTAAAACCCAAGAAAAATCGCGTTTTTTCTTGTATGCATACAAAATTTTATTGTAGGTATGCCGATTAAAATTAAAAAAAATTAATGTTTCTTGCTCGTCGGTCGAATTTATTCTGTTTTCAATAAATTCAAATATTGTCGTCCAAGCGACGCGACGTACAGTGCCTCCCTTCTCTTTTTCCCAGTGTTGCCAAGTTCTGAATTTGAAAAACCACTACAACCCAAGAAAAATCGCGTTTTTCTCGAAAAAATCACCCAATTTCTTATTGAAATCCTCAATCCTCAGTGTTGTGATATTAATCCACACACAATCATGAACTCCCACCAATTGATTTTATTAAAAAAATTTAAATTACGAATATGTAAAAACGCACAGCTGGAATACGAGAAATATTTGAAGAAAGAGTGTAGAAATGATCCATAACTTGCAAAACATGTTTCGTTTCCACAAAAATAAAGCAAACACTATTAAATTGAAGAAACAGTCCACGTCAAAAAACCGCGGAGGAACACTGAAATAATTCTGTGTTTTAAATTAGCATATTTTGAACGAATTTGGAATGTCTAAGGTGGAAAAGAAACCAACCTTTCTATAAG